GTGCATAGTAGACAAATTACATGCTTGTACAATAAATAAATGAAAAAGATAGTGGTAGAGCATGTAGAAGCAGATTTCAAACCCCCCCCCCCCTTTTTTTAAGATACTGGAGATTGAACCCAAGGACACTCTACTACACTGAACTACATTCCCTGCCTTATTTATTTATTCACTTATTTATTTATAAATTTTGAGATGCAATCTCACTATATTATCAAGGCTGGTCTCAAATTAGCAATCTTCCTCTTTTAGCTTCCTGGGTAACTGGTTTCTTAGACATGCACCACTGAATCCACTACTATTTAGGCTTTATAGCTTTATCATCATGAATTTCTTTTTCTGAATTCTTTAATTTTGTTATTAAAGAGAATTTTAATCCCTCTGAATTATTATGCCAACATTGTTGTCTGTACATTTTTGTTCTTCTTCCTCCCAACCCATGTCCACAATGTTTTTTTCCTTTGTTCTGTTTTTTTTTTTTTTTTTTGATGCTGAGATTGAATCCTTCCTCAAATCTTAATATCTTAAAATATAATAATAATAATAATAATAATAATAAGAAGAAGAAGAAGAAGAAGAATGATCTGGGATCTCTTTTTCATAGAGCTATATCCCCAGTCCTTTTTATTTTTTATTCTGAAGTAGGGTTTCACTAAATTGCTGAGTCTGGCCTCGAAGTTGCAATCTTTCTGCCTGAGCCTCCTGAATTGCTAGAAAAACAGAAATGTACCACCATGCCCAGTTTCTGTTTTGTTTTCCTTTTTAACTTTTTATTTCAAAATAGTCATCTATTTACAGAATTACTTCAAGACAGTAGAGAGTACCCATATGCCTCTCACACATTTCCCCCACTATTTACCTTTTACAATCTTCTTGTATATTATTACAATTAATTTAACAATATCGAAACCTTATTATTAACTGAACTTTGTACTTTATTCAGATGTCTTCAGTTTGTTTAGAATGTTCTTTTTCTGTTCTAGGTTCCCATTCAGGAAGTTACATTGCATTTTATATTTGTATCTTGATTCTTTTTGGTTGTGACAATTTCTTAGACTTGAATTTTGATGATCTAGACTGTTTTGGAAATTACATGTTTACAAATACCTTTCTCAATTAGGATTTTAAAAAGCTTATTTATAATTTACATAGCCTAAAATGTGTCCCACACCCCTTTGGTACTGCTGGTTAGTGAACTCAGGGCTTTGTACCTGCTAGGTAAGTGTTTACATTGAGCTAAGTTCCCAACCCCCAAATACACACTTTAAAATTACATAAGTCAGTGCTTCTTTTACTGTATGCACAATATTTTCCAACTGTCCCTACTAGCTAATTCATCCCCCAAAGAAACCTTACAACCATTAGCAATCACTGCACATTCACAGCTCCCTGATCTATCCACAATCGTTAATCTGTTATCAATATGGATTCATATATTCTTAACACTTAATAGAAATGGAATCATATAATATGTAGGCATTTGGGTCTGTTTTTTCACTTAGCACAATATTTTCAGTCACTACTTCATTTATTCTTGTGGCTGAGCAATGTCCCATTATATGGATGTACATAACATGCCATATTTTGTTTATCCTTTTATCAGTTGGTGGACATTTGAGTTGTTCCCACTTTTGATTATTATTCATAAATCTGCTATGATAATTCACATTTGTGTTTTTGCATAGGTTGTTTCTTTTTTTTTGGTGGTGCTGGGAATTGAACCCAAGACATGGGGAATGAGAGGCAAGCACTCTACCAACTGAGCTATATCCCCAGCCCCTAGATTCTTTTTTTCTTTTTATTTGGTACTATACTAAGGAGTAGGGATCATGGTAACTTAATGGCTAATATTTTGGGGCATTTACAACTGTTTTCCAAAGTGCCCACACTGTTTTACATTCCTGAAAGCATCTTTGAGGTTTTCAATTTCCCCATCTCCTTCTCAACACTTATTGACTTAGCCTTATGCATGTTAGGCAAATGCACTACCACTGAGCTACATACTCAGCTTTATTGTCTTTTTTGATTTTTAGTTGAGGGTTGAACCCAGGGTCTCCCGTGTGCTCTACCAACAAAGCTACCTCCTCAGTCCCTGTATTATCTTTTAAATTATTTGCCTAAGTGACTTCTCACTGTAATTTTCACTTGTATTTCCCTAATGACAAATGGTAATGAGTGTCTTTTCATATGCTTATTGGCTATTGGTATACTTTTTTTTTTTTAGAATGATCTATTTAAATCATTTGGGCAATTAAAGAAAATAAGGGGGGCGTCTTTACTTTGCATATTCTCTAGCTATACTTACTCTTATCAGTTTTATTATTGGCAAATATTTTCTCCTATTTTGCCTTTTACTTTCTTAATCTTATCCCTTGAAGCAAATGTAACTGTGTAATGGTGATTAAATACTATAAAACTATGGTAAAATCCAATTTATATTTTTACTTGCTTGGCTTTAGGTGTTATTTCTAAGAAGCCATTGCCTAATTCAAGGTCATGCAATTGTATATTTTGGTTTCTTTCTGAGTTATTTATATTTTGCCCTTTTTAGGTCTGATCCATTTTGAATTAATTTTTGTATTTAATGTAAGTCAAGGTATCAGATTAGTTTTTGAAAATCTCCACAATAGTTTCAGTTTTAGTGACCCTTAAGCTCAAACCCCTAAGAGTTTAGTTTGTTGTTATGTGTATTCTTTGGAAAAAATGGAATAATTGAAAGATATTAGTTAATAATAACATCAGACATTAATGAATACCAACAAATGTTTCCATTTCTCATCCCAAAAGTACTACTGGAATATTGGTGCAACTTTAACAACCATCTGCTGTCCTTGGAGTCTGTACTGGAACTTGACCTAAATATACATGCATGTAAACTTATCTAATTGTCAAAATGTTGTGTAATATAAGTACCTCCCCCCTAATTTTACAGATAAGGAAAACAATGTACAGAAAGTTAAGTAACTTGCCCAAGTTAACGTTGCTTTCAAGAATCAAGGCTAGAATTTGAATCAAAAGAGCAGAAGTCCAAAGGTATGATTTTCATTACTTAGACCATAATTGCATGTATTCTTTGATAATTTTTTTCATGTGCAAATAAACATGATTACATAAAACCTTATACAATTCATTTTGCTATTCATTTCCAAGAGTGAGTTTTCCACATTGCTTTATACAAATAAGTAAAATTGAAATAGTAGAAATTGCAAAATTTTAGAGATCAAAAACATTTGAATATTGACAATTTTATATAATTTAACTAAATATGTCATTATTGGTAGTGTCAATAATGTATTTTATTGCTTAAATATATGTGAAGTTATTTAGCCTGTTTTCTAATTACCATTACATAGCTTATTATGGGAAAATCTGTGCACACCTGTTTGATTCTATGATCACTAGGAAGTCAGCATCATTTTATTCGGGTAGGGAAGGAATTTTAGCCACTTAATCCCCATTAGTCTCCTTTCACCCTAAATTCTTTGAAATGGACAACTGAGAAAGGGCAAAGATATGTAAAACATTATGCAAATGTAGCTTTAGGGTTATTTCCTTAGCTTTCTAATCTTTATCATTGTCCTTTCCCAAGGAACACAAACATATTAGTCTGCAGAAAGGATATTATTAATGTAAAAAACTTTATTTATATTTGTTCATTGGTGCTTATTTTCCTTCACTACATCTATCACTGATTTTTGGTAAAAAATTAAATGTTCCCAAATTTAATAGGCAAGGAAAACTATTATATTTTAGACTTTAAGTACGGTCCTTTTGTGCAAATGAGAAGCCAGTGATCTTCCATATAGTATTGAAGAGGTTTTTTTTTTTTTTCTTTTTAATTAAAAAAAATTCTGTTTTTAGTTGTCAATAGACTTAATTTTTTTTTTTTAAAGTTGTGAGGCTGGGATGAATTGTGGCTCAGCAGTAGAAAGCTTGCCTAGCATGCGCGGGGGCCCCGGGTTCCATCCTCAGCACTACATAAAAATAAATGAATGGAATAAAGGTATTGTATCCAACTGCAATTAGAAAAAATAAATAAATATTTTAAAAAATTTTTAGTTGTAGATGGACACAATACATTTATTTTATTTATTTATGTGGTGCGGAGTATTGAACCCAGTGCTCCATGCATCCGAGGCAAGTGTGCAACCACTGAGCTGCAACCCTAGCCTCGGTCAGTAGTCCTTTATTTTATTGATTTTTTACATGGTGCTGAGAATCACTGAGCCACAATCCCAGCCCCTAGTATTAAAGAGTTTACATTCTGATTTTGGGGAATAATTTTGACAGTTTACAAAAGAAATATTAATTCAAAAAGGGGGAATAGTTTGCTAGATTTGAACAACATAGCATCTTTTTAGAGAGAGGAATATTTTCTTCTGGATAGTATTTCAAGAATCTGGCATATTTGTGTTGACTGTGGTTTTGGTTAATTTAACTTTTCTGAAGCAGTTTTGTGTACTGCATAGAGTAAAACCTGATAAAGACTGTAAGTCAGGATTATTTGGCTTGTGACATCTGCAAAGGCTTCTTTGAAACCAAGGATTATTTCTTCACAGCTTTACACCTATTTTTAAAAAGCAGAAATACCTGGGCTGGGGTTGTGGCTCAGCGGTAGAGCACCCGCCTAGCATGTGCGAGGCACTGGGTTCCATTCTTAGCACTACATAAAAATAAATAAAATAAAGGCATGTGTCCAATAACAGCTAAAAAATAATTTAAAAAAGCAGAAATACCTAATATTATAATCTTAAAATTAAAATAAATAAACAAACAAAAATAGGCAGACAGATTCATTAATTTTAGATGTTTGTGGTTTTTGAAGTCCTTCAGTTAAGGCATCAGAGATGTGGATTATTGGGGTCCAATAACCAATGCACTCGGGTCATTCTGGTTTGAGAACATGGGACCCTCTGCATTGCGGCAAATAGACACGCATGTGCAGCACTGGGGGGAATTGGTGCGCATGCGCCGACCGGAGGTGCGGTAAATCTGCGCTGCGGCAGTCTTGCGCAGAGCAGAGCGGCCCCTGGAGATGCCTGGCTCCTCGGTCTGAGGAGCGGTCAGCGACGCGATGGAGCGAGCAAGGTCAGCCGTTTTGGTGGCTTCTGTTATCTTGGGGAACTTTCACTTGTTGTCTACTAAATGGAGTACTGTACAAAACTGGAACTTCAGGGCCTTTAGCCCTTTGTTTTGGAGAACCAGATAGACACCTTTGGAGGCTTGGAATTATCTCTTCTGTTCTTTGGTGTCGTGCGGCATTTTGCCGCATCCTCTCATCTGTAATGCCGCGACAGTTCCTTTCGTGGATGAATCTTTACCTTTCATTTACGAGGCAGTTACAGTGGGTTGCCCGCGGTCTTGTGGGGGAATACTGAGGGTGACCGAGGACCGCTGAGGGTCCGCTGAGGTGTCCATGACCAGGGGTGGGGCTCACCGTTCAGCGTCATGAAGGAAAGGTATACAGTGCCTCTGAGTTTCGGGGACGGTATGTGGAGATGACCATGCCGCGCTGGTCCATAGTACCGAGTGATTTAGCTTACGGGATAGGGCGAGGTTACTGTAGCACGGATGGAAGTGGTTATACTGAGGGGACTACCGTGGTTTTAGGGAAGGAATTCAATGCCACATAGTTTGGGCGGTTGCCTGAGGGGACCCTGGTGCAGTTTGGGGGTTATGCCAGGGTGACCGCGGAGTAGTTCTGGTAGGGGGTAATGCCGAGGTGAAGTTGGTGGGGGAGGGTACAGCAGGTATCTACGGGGCACTGGAGTATTCTGTCTGATTTTGCTTGTAACGGAGATGGTACAGCTATAGTTCAGCAGGTAATGCAGGGCCATTGGAGGGCTGGGGGCTCGAGGGTAAGTTGGAGAGCCCATATTGTTGTTGAGGCCACCACGGTTTCTGATGTGAGTGGGAAGAGTGGGGAAGCGGTGGTGGATGTAGTGGGGGACATTGGGGTGCTCACAGTGGCAGTGGTAGTGCGGGAGTTGGTGCGTATGGCAGTAATGGCAGGGCCTGCTGGGTGTCCGAAGTGACTGAGTGGGTCAGCAGAATGACCTCTGGTGTGGAGGGGGAGGGGGTGAGAGGACGGATGGTTGCAGACAGAAGTAGAGAATTTGAAGGAACATTAATTTTCACATGATCTTTGGCTGTTGTGCATTTTGATTTTTATGATTGTGCTTTTTGCTTTCTTAAGCTGCTGTGCCCCTACAATGAAGTGCTAGTTACAGAAATTTAGTTTGGTTTTCTTCTCTATTTTATTCCTTTATGATTTCTTCACTTAGGTGGCTAACGTGTAAGAAAGGGAAATGGCGTGCACAATTTAGTGTTGTGCATCTTCTGACAGATGTGTGAGGTGATGCCACAGAGGCATTGTTTTTCATTGTTTTTACTTATCATAATATAGTTTTCAAAGGCTATCTCAGGATTGGAATAGGGTAATATCTTGCGTCACCGCCATTGTGCACTTTCCCAAAGATGGCCGCTGCTGCAGAGGCAATAGTCTGCGCAGGCGCAGCAGGGTGGGGCGGGTGGTCGCCCCCTCCTCATCATGTCACAGCAGGTATGGCACTGTTTGCACCTGATTTCTCATTTTTGCCCTGCTGAAATTTCAGCCATATGCTCTCGAAAGTGCTTGGATGAGGTAGGAGAAATGTTGGGTGAGGTGTCCGCCCCCTCCCCAAAGTGCAGCAGTGAAGGGTGCGGGGTGCGCCGGCGCAGTGGGGAGGATAGCTGCCTCTATGTGCCATGCGGTTGGTAGCTGAGAACATGGTTATGCAGCATCAGCTTGGAGAGGATAGAAGCCACCTCTTCACCTGGATGCTATAACAGCTGCTGTTTTACCTCACATTCCCTATTGTGTCGCAGTGGAGGGTGGGGGAAAGAAGGCAGGATTGCACATACTCAGAAGACTTGGCAGCAGGCCTTTCCCCACAGTACCACGGTAGGGGTGTGGTGGATGAAGGAGTGTGAAATGAAGGAGAGATCAGGAATTTGCAGTCTCCACAGCTGTCCTGTGACCCTCCTTTTCTGTGCTGAAGTAGACTGGAGTGGTAAGGGTCTATAGGACATCAAATGTGCATCCACCAGAGTACCTGACGTGCTGCTTGAGGCAGCCTCTATCACTGGTGGAGATGTCAAATTTGTTTTCAAAGTCACCTTTTAATTTTTGTAGATTGTTCTTTTACTGTTTTGTATGGTCTAATTTCAAAGTGCATTCAGTAACCCCTTACACAATCCCCTTCCTTTTCGAGATTTGATAATTTAATAATTGCATCTACCATCAAGTGTATATTAGTTTAATCTTCTGATGTCCAATTTTTTTATCCACCAAAGACATAATTTTATTAAAGTAGGGGAATCAGGAGCATGCCAAACATTGAATCATCTTGGGCTCCTATGATCTTACAGAAAAGTGGTGAGAGCCCTATAGGTTTGGGGATGTGCATGGGATTAGAATCACTGCTCAAGACTATTGCCTACAGAAGAATTTTTAAATTAAGCTTTTGATAATTTTTGAAGTTGGAACTACTGTGAAAATTTGATGAGAAAGAATAATGAACCAAATGATAGGATTATTATATACCATTACTTTTTAAAATCTTTTTTGCCTTTAAGGATTTTGTTTTAACCTTTGTGCTTATCTTCATTTAATCATGTTTTTCATTTTATCTTTGGTACGCAGTATGTCTGGTTTTCTTCAGTTGAAATTAACAAGGCAAATCTAGTTAGCTTGAAAAGTTTTGTTATGGAGTTTTCTATTTTTAGTAGTTAGAAAAATAGAATATTGTGGGCAGTATTTATTATTTGATCATTTTTTGCTGGCTCGTAGGAAGATGTTGCTGCAGATACATTTTGGTTTTAACTTCTGAGTCTTTTGACTCTTTATAAAAAACTGTGTAGGCTGGCCTGCCATTTTGTACTCTTTGATTCCGACTCACCATCCCAATATGGCAGATCACTTTGGAAAGACCTCATCCTGTTTCAAGGCATCTGAAGATTTTTAGGTCTCTGATCTGTTCAGCACTTTGCTGGGGCTTTTTGAAAAGGAGGAGTGCAAATTCTTCAGGTGATTTAGATGAAGGAAGCTTGATTGAGGGAAAACTTGCTGTTCAAAGCAAGCTGTTAGCTTAGTTTATTTCCCTTTTCTATTTGATCAGTGTTTTATTACATTTTAATCTCTCATATCCACTGTCTTCTAATTGTTCATTTTTGTTTTCCAACAAATTTCACATTTAATATGGATAGCATTATAAATGTTTTATATGTCACTATGCTGTTATTTAGCCATTTGTAGGGAGAATTATTATTATTATTTAAATTTTTTTTTAGTTGTCGATAGACCTTTATTTTATTTATTTATATTTGATGCTGAGAATTGACTCTAGTGCCTCACATGGCAGGCAAGTGCACTACTGCTGAGCTACATAATTCTCCAGGGAGAATTATAAGTGCTGCCCTATCATGACAAAGGACAATGAAATTTTAATCTTATTTCTTTTGTATGGATCAGCACTATCTTTCCCTCCACTTTTATGGCATGGAACTTGAGTAATTGTGCTGACGATGACATCCTCTGAAACTGGTAAAAGTAGTATATATAAATTACCCCTTTTCTGTAGCAATTTCTGAGTACTAACTGGCCCAGAATTCTCCTTTTTCATAATTCTCTTTGTTTTGGAGGCATTGATCTTTCCTATATTAGGGAAGTGCAGATGGGAAGGATCTACTGTTAGCTAATGTTTAAAAATTCCTGATGTCTTTATTGAATTTTAAAATATAAAGTATATCAAACATTTTTATAGGAAATGATATAATAATAAATTGTGGTATCCCATTAGTTTTTACTTTTCAATATATTTCTGCATTTTGATTTCAGAAAAATTTTAATATTTTTATAATTTCATTTTTTTCTGAACTAGTTAATTTTCTATAATGTTGGTTTCTGGGTTGAGGATACAGTAAGGAAGTTTATAAATGTACCTGTGCATATGTGATTGTATCTGACACAAACCAACATTTTTGAAATAAAGTTCATACATGATTTATTTAGACTAAAAATTGAAATATTAGGATATTTTTGTAAGTTTTTTAACTGAAATGAGATTTTTTTTTTCACTCTGAGGAACTGATAAGGGTAAAAGTATAGATTTTTTGATAGTGGAGTATTTGTAGTTATACCATATTGGGCTTAACATAATTTGGTTGATAGTTTTTTTTTATTGTGTTAAATTAAGAGAATGCATTTAATTATTAAGTACATTTGTGAACTCATAGCATGTTTCAGTATTTCCTTTTTTATGGGTCAATAATATTCCATTGTGGGGGCTGGGGATGTGGCTCAAGTGGTAGCACGCTCGCCTGGCATGCGTGCGGCCCGGGTTCGATCCTCAGCACCACATACAAACAAAGATGTTGTGTCCTCTGATAACTAAAAAATAAATATTAAAAAATTCTCTCTCTCTCTCTCTCTCTCTCTCACTCTCTCTAAAAAAATAATATTCCATTGTGTAGGCAATATCATATAATGACAATTTATTTATCCTTCAGCCAATAGGCATTTAATTATTAATGCTTTTTGCCTATTATGTGTTATCCCTTTGGGAACATTAGTGTGCTACAAGTTTAGTGTTTTAGTATCATATATCTTGTAAAGGAATTGTTAGATCATTATTTTTATCTCACGATTAGCACATTTTATGTAGTGCTAAGGGCTGTGTCATATTATATTCCAACTAGCATTTTATCTATCTCCTTCCCAACTTTAGTGTTTTCAAGTAGTATATTATTATAGTGCTTTTGATTTTCATTTGCTTAGTGACTAATGAAGTAGAAACTTCATGTGATATTTGGCCATTTATATGTCTTATTTGAAGAACTGTGTATTCAGATCCTTTACCCATTTTGATTTTTGGGGGAAGTGCTGGTGCTGGGGATCACATACAGGACCACCTGTAAGCTAGGTAAACACTCTACCATTAATCTATATTACCAGCTCTTCTTTACCAATTTAGAAAATAGATTTTTTGCTTTTTATTGCTGTATTTGTATGAGTTCTTTTATATTCTGGGTCTAAGACTTTATAAACACTCTTGAGGTGTGATTAACATACAAAAACATTTAGATAGTTAATGTATATAATTTGATGTTTGGAGGTTCTATCAGTGCCATAAATTTATCTATCACTTCCAAAGAACCTTTCTTTTTGTTTTGAATATTAGACTCTCATCTCATATATAATTTATATACTTTTTCCTTTCTTGATTATCTTTCTCCCTTTTTTTTGAAGGGAGGAGTACTGGGAATTTTAATTTACCACTGAACTACATCCTCAGCCCTTTTTGTTTTTTATATTTTTAATTTTTTGTTTTTAAATTTTGAGAGAGGGTCTCACTTGCTAAATTGTTGAGGTTGGCTTTGAACATGAGATTCTCCTGTCTCAGCCTGCTGAGCTGCTTAGATTATAGGTGTGTACCACTTCATTGGCTTCATTTCACTGTTTTTAGTGCCTTTTATTAAAGTCAAATTTATTTATTTATTATCTTGCTTGTCCTCAGAGCTCATTTAAAGGACCTACTCCATGGTCACTAAAATTAGCAATGTGTAAATTTTACTGTGTAAAAACCTTTTTTTTAAACATTTATTTTTTAGTTGTAAGTGGACATAATACCTTTATTTTAGTTTTATGTGGTGCTGAGGATCAAAGCCAGTGCCTCATGCATGCTAGGTGAGTGCTCTTTCTCTGAGCCACAACTCCTCTAGCCCCTGTGTAAAAATCTTAAGGTATAGGCATATGTGATTTTTCCCCCCTTTGGGTACCAGTGATTGAACCTAGGGGTTAACCACTGAGATACATCCCCAGCCCTTTTTAAAATATTTCATTTAGAGACAGGGTCTCCCTAAATTAATTGTTTAGGTCCTCGATAAATTGTTAACAATAGCTTTGAATGCGTAGTCCTCCTGCTTCATCCTTCCAAACTGCTGGGATTACAGGTGTGTGCCACCGTGCCTGGCAGAATATATATGATTTTTAAAAATCATTTTATGCCTTAATTTGAATACTTATAGTTCTTTCTTTTAAGGGCGGGGATACTGAGGATTGAACTCAGGGGCACACAACCACTGAGCCACATCCCCAGCCCTATTTTGTATTTTATTTAGAGACAGGGTCTCACTGAGTTGCTTGGCCCCTCATGCCGAGACTGGCTTTGATCCTAAGCTGCTGAGATTACAGGCATGCATCTTAAAGCAATAAAATAATAGGGAGAGTTTACTAACCTGTTTTATTCTAAAACTCAGATACTACTTTTAAAAGTAGGAAGGATGCTAGGCATGTTGGCACACGTTCAAGGCCAGCCTCAGTAATTAAGTGAGGCCCTAAGCAATTGAAAACCTTGTTTAAAAAAAAAGGTGTTGTGAATGTGGCTCAGTGATAAAGCACCCCTGGGTTAAGTACCAGAAAAAAAGTGTGCAGATAATTGGATTTGGGGGTGCATAGTATCTGTAAAACATTAGTTGCTTGACTTTTATAAAAGGTCTTTTCTGTCTTCTAGCTTGGAATTTCTGAATCGAAGTTTTATGAGTGATTCCTACATTTCCTAACATGGCTGCCTCCAGTGGTTGATTTGATTCTATTCCTAAGACAGCCATTTTATGAGATGGTCTGCAGATCTTATTATGGTGGTGGTTTTCCTCTGTGTTGGTAGCTTTTTGATTAAGCAACCCTTGTTTTACAAATATTAAAGCAAAATTTGTGCAAAAGACTTTTAAAAAAAATCAGTTCGTTTTTAGTTACACATGTCAATAGGATTCATTTTTTTAAAATATATTTTTGTAGTTATAGATGGACAGAATGCCTTTATTTCCTTTGTTTATTTTTTTTATGTGGTGCTAAGGATCGAACCCATTGCCTCACACATGCTAGGCAAGCGCTTTGCCACTGAGCAACAGCCCCAGCCCAATAGGATTCATTTTGATATAACTGTGAAAGCATAGAATATATATTTTTTTCTAATTTAGGCTCCATTTTTTAAAAATAGACATTTTCCCTTTAAACTTAATGTTCTATAATTTCACTATACAAAATACTATTTATTATGATTTTAAAATATGCTTCCCAAGCCACTTTTGGAAATAGCTTTGCTATTTTTGGCCAGAAGAATGAGTATGTAGTGGTGATATGTTACTGAATGCGTGTGAGTATTTTTCTGTACAGATGAGTAAATATAAATGGAAGTGAATATGTCTTTCATTTCTTGATCTTTTAAAACCAGATTGTCTGTGATAGTCAAGATCCTGATTGTTTGAAGGGTAAAGATCTTCTAATATTTTAGTTTTATTTTGTTTTAATTGGATTTTGGACACTTTCATAAGTCAGTCATGAGTTGCTTCATATATTGATGAAGTCTACCAAATAATTCTTTTTTACCTGTTTCAGGGATCGCTTAAACCTGAGACGAACTACAGAACAGCACGTGCCAGAAGTGGAAGTCCAAGTCAAACGTAGAAGGACAGCCTCACTGAGCAATCAAGAGTGAGTACAGTCTGGGCTGAGAACCAACTGAGGTCAGAATCATGTTTTAGTTTAGAACAAAAATATCATGGAATGAAGAGACTAAAAATAAACAGTTAAAAAAACACATGAATGTAATATAGATGATATGGTAAAATGGTGAGATTGATTGAACAGGTATTGATAGAACACCTGTCTAGTGTCCCTGAGACCCTAAGTCCTAGAACAGGACAAGGGTGTTGGGGCACTAGAGAGTCTCTTCTTCATTTTTTTGGTACCAAGGATTGAACCCAGGGACACTTAACCACTGATCCACATCCGTAGCCCTTTTTGAAATATTTTATTTAGAGACAGGGTCTCACTGAGTTGCTTAGGGTCTCACTAAATTGTTGAGGCTGACTTTAAACTTGCAATCCTGCTGCCTCAATCTCCTGAGTCACTAGGATTACAGGTATGTGCCACTCTGCCCGGCCTAGAGAGTCTCTTCTTAAAACCACTATCAATTCATTTCTCTTCCCACTCCAGAGATAATTTTTAAGTACTTGGTATTTATCATTTCAGAATTCATCCTATACATGCTTATATGTCTGTTTGTATACATTGTGATTTGTGATTCTTTTCTGACAGTATTTCTTGGGGATCTTGCTATAGTGATATATGTAATTCTATATTATTTTATAGATTAGGGTTATTTTAATTATTAACCTACTTGATACTTATTTTGTTTGCATTCCTTGGCTTCTAACGGTGAGGATATGAACAATCATTCTAAAATGCAGTGTATAATAATTTATTTCCTTAACTGTAGTATTTTTTAAATTGTAGGAGGTAGGTAACAGTTAATGTCTTATTGTTGTCACGTATTCATTGTATATATGAAAGATTGTCAAAGGATTGCACATTTTATTTTATTTTTTATTTAGTAGGGCCACTGAGAAGTGAGCCCAGGGGTTCTATACCACTGAACTACGTCATTTTTTAAATTTTGAGACAGAGTCTTGCTAAGTTGCTGAGGGTCTTACTAAATCATGGAGCCTGGCCTTAAACTTGGAATCCTGTTGCCTCAGCTTCCCAGATCCCTGGGATTACAGGTGTATGCTGCCATGCCCAAAAGATTAGCACATTTGAAATTACTGGTGAGAATAAAGATTTCCCCATTTCTTCTAATTTTTAGGAATTAAAATCATTTTTTGAGTGTGTTTTTATTTTTGAGTTTCTGGGGATTTGGCCTTGTTTATGCTAGGCAAGTGCTCTACCACTGAGCTGCATCCCCAGCCCTTTTTAAACAATTTTTTGAAAGAGGGTCTTGCTAAGTTGTTTAGAACATCCCTAAGTTTCTGAGGCTGGCCTTGAATTTGGGATTATTCTTCCTCAGGCTCCCAAGTCCCTGGGATTACATGCATGTGCCACTGTGCCTGGCTTATATATATTTTTTTCATTTTGATACCAGTATCACTAACATTCCTAAACTGGCCTTGAACTTACAATTCTTCTACCTCAGCCTCCCTGCACCTGGGAATGCTTCAACATAAAAACCTCCCTTTAACTTCCAAAGTTTTGAATGTTCCTAGAGTGTCCAGTAGAGTTTAGAGAGCTTGTGGTAGAGTTTATGGGGAAGGGCATCTGTTGAGGGAGGATCTTTTTAGTAAATGGAGTTCCATTGTGTTTGTTGTGTTTTGTTACGAGTTTTAATTTTATACATTCTGAACCTAGATTAATACAAGTGATCTCATGCTCATCTTGTTTTGGGATGAAGTGGCCTTCTCCAGTTATCTGTCCGTCTTGTTCATATCTGTGGAAACAGTTTGATTTTGATGAAAACATAACTTGAGTTTTTCTGATATATACTGTGTATGTTATATATTAAACTTCATAGTCCTTCCTGTATTGGGGGCAGGATCTGAGATGAGTATTGAGTTAGGGAAATTGTATAATTTTTCCAGTTCTCTTCATTCTTAGAGTAAATAGATTATGGAAATATATATGTAGGATTTATTATATATATATATATATGTGTGTATATATATATATATATATATATATATGAATGACAGCGGAATGCATTACAATCCATATTACACATATAGAGCACATTTTTTTCATATCTCTGGATGTATTAAAGCATATTCACACCAATTCATGTCTTCATACATGTACTTTGGATAATACCATCACATTCCACCATCATTTCTAATCCTCTACTCACTTCCTTCCTCTCCCATCCCTCTGCCTTATCTATAGTTCCTCTATTCCTCCATGCTCCCCCTCCCTACCCCAGTATGAATCAGTCTTTTGAAAACATTTGGTATTTGGTTTTTTTTGGGGGGGATTGGCTAACTTCACTTAGCATTATCTTCTATAACTCCATTCATTTACCTGCAAATGCCATGATTTTATTCTCTTTTACTGCAGAGTAAAATTCCATTGTGTATATATGTCACATCAGTGACAAATCCTCTGAAAGGGAAATGAAGGAAACTACCCCATTTACAATAGCCTCAAAAAAAAATTCTTAGGAATCAACTTAGCAAAAGAGGTGAAAGACCTCTACAACGAAAACTACAGAACACTAAAGAAAGAAATTAAAGAAGACTTCAGACGATGGATAGATCTATCTTGCTCTTGGATAGACAGAATTAATATTATCAAAATGGCCATACTACTAAAAGCACTATACAGAATTAATGCAATTCTAATCAAAATACCAATGGCATTCCTCATAGAAATGGAAAAAGCAATCATGAAATTCATCTGGAAAAAATAAGAGACCCAGAATAGCTAAAGCAATCCTTAGCAAGTAGAGTAAAGCAGGTGGCATCACTATACCAGACCTTAAACTATACTACAGAGCAATAGTAACAAAAACAGCTTGGTATTGGCACCAAAACAGACTGATACACCAAATGGTACAGAGACTAATCCACAAAATTACAATTATCTTATATTTGACAAAGGTGCCAAAAACATACATTAGAGAAAAGAAAGCCTTTTCAACAAATGGTGCTGGGAAAACTGGAAGTTCATATGCAACAAAATGAAATGAAATCCCTATCTCTCACCATGCACAAAACTCAACTCAAAATGGATCAAGGACCTAGGAATTAAACCAGAGACCCTGTGTCTAAATGTAGGATTAATAGAACTTGTATCATGGTTTATATATAAGCTCAAAATTTCATAAGCCAGGTACTTGTATATTTTATTAAACTGAATCTTCATTGATATTTATCCAATTAATATCCTACCTTCTCCCAAACAATAAAGATGGGAGTCCATTCTGCCTAGAGGGATTCTATTGATTCCAGCCCTAAATAATTATCATTTTATTCATTCTAGAAAGTTCAATACAAAACTAAATAAAAATAGCACAAGACACAAACTAATGAGTATGAATAGAACTGTGCTGACTTTTGTTCCACTCATGGAATTGATGGTAATTTTGTCTTTCATTAGATATGTCACCACATCATCTCTTGTTCTTGGGATAATATCTTCCCTGTTAGTTGATATATTTTCAGTTTAAGGGTAATTAGGGTTGGAGAGTCATCTTTATCTATTTTAGGTATACCTTCAAATGTATTTCCTGATTAATATTCTGCTTTTTGTGATGTGTAATGCTATATAGCCTGCATCTTGTTTTCTCATTCTTTTTTTAAAGAGAGAGAGAATTTTTAATATTTATTTTTTTTTAGTTTTCGGTGGACACAACATCTTTGTTTTGTATGTGGTGCTGAGGATTGAACCCGGGCTGCACGCATGCCAGGCGAGCGCGCTACCACTTGAGCCACATCCCCAGCCCTTTGTTTTCTCATTCTTAACCTCAGTTGTCTTTAGGCTCCCAGAGTTAACCAAGGAGGATACTTAATAGGAAATTCTCTTAATTCAAGTTTCAAGAAGCAAAGTTGTTTTTTTTTTCCTTCTTCCTGCAACAGTTTTAGGACTTTGTTAGGTCAGAGAACTGGTTGCTGTTTGGCAACAGTGAGATTGAAATGAGGAATACTTAGATTATTTATTATTCAGACCTGGGCATATAGCTCAGTGATAAAATGCTTGCCTAACATGTATAAGACCCTGGGCATATAGCTCAGTGATAAAATGCTTGCCTAACATGCATCTCCCAGCACTGGTAGAGTAGATTTTATTATTTGGTGATTGGGGTAGGAAAATTTAAATGTAACTGAGGCCAACTAACTTGAATTATTGCACACTTCACAGATATTAATATTCTCTCCATTTGATTGTTCTTAATTCACACATTAGCCCACAAGCTGCAGGGTTCCCATGCCATGATACATCTGATCCAGCTAGCTTGTGAATCTGTGATTCCCAGTGTGCTTTCAGATTTGATTATTTGGGGAAATGGCTCAGAACTTAAAAATAAAACATAACACACAAATACCTCTCTCTATATATGTGTACATATTCTTTATAGGTATATCTGTGTGATTTTGTAAAAAATGGTATGGGGATTTAACCCCAGAGCCTTATGCATGCTAGGCAAACACTACAACTTAGTACAAGATTTATAAAACTTACAAATGAATGTAGGTCAAGGTCTGAGAGGGTCTCAAACATAAAGCTACATTCTTTCAGGATGTACTCTGTATGTTAGTAGATAAAACCCATTAGAAAACATAACAGAACTTCAGAAATCCACTGTTGTGTTGGGGTTTCATTATGTAGACAAAATTAACTGAAACATTGGTCATGTGATTGAAATCAGTCTTTAGGTTCCATCCTATCCTAGGAAGTCAGGTTCCGAAGCCTTCTCTTTAATATTTGTTTGTTTTTTCTTGGGCCTGGCCATATCCCAATCTGAATTATCTCACTAGCATAAACCAAGAACAATAAAGATATTTCTATCTTTTTGTAAATTCCAAGGAGTTAGATGTGACTTCCTGATAACCTGGGACAGAGGCCAGCTAATTTTATGTATGTATGTATGTATGTATGTATGGGCTGGGGATTGAATCGAGGGTCTCTTTGCCACTGAATTACATCCTTAGTCCTTTTTGTTATTTATCCCAAGTTGCTGAGGGTCTTGCCAAGGTACTTCTCAGTCTAGTCTTGAGCTTATGATTCTCATCCTCCCTAAGTCGCTGGAATTACATGTCTATGCCATGGCACCTGGCTTAAATTCTTTATTATTTAACAGTATGTTTAACACACAATGGAAAATCTATAGAAAAAAGTGGAAACTTGTACCAGTCTCATTTCCAAATCCAGTGCTATTAAATATTTTCAAATATATTTTATCATTTTTCCCCTTACCAACAGGATAAAATTGCTAATATCAATAGCAGACCTTTCCTGTTGATCAGCAAACTATAATTTCCTTTATTTATTGTGTGTGTGTGTGTGTGTGTGTGTGTGTGTGAGAGAGAGAGAGAGAGAGAGAGAGAAAGAGAGAGAGACAACAAGCATGTGCACATGCTGAGGATCGAATCTAGAGTACTTTACCACTGTGCTGCATCTCCTTTGTTTTTGATGTTTATTGTGGGCTTTGCTAAGCTGTTGATACTGGGCTTGATTTTGTGGTCCTCCTATCTTGACCTCTAGAGTTGGGATTATAGGACTGTACCACCATGGCCATCTCTTTCTTATTAGATTCACAGCAAGGTTACTGACCCACAGGTTATGTGGAGGGTTTTCTTATAGAATTCCCTGCTTACTAATACAGATGGTTGAATCACATAGTTTGAAAGCCCTCAAATCTCATGGACTCTGCAAGTTATTAGGTATTTATTTATGAAGAAAATGCTTCAGATGAGACAGCCTTTATGCATCATTAATGTATGCTGAGCAAATACCCTCACTCTATTGCAGGGGAGTGAGCATTTTAGGATAATTGGAAATCGAATGATGGATATGGTACTAATAGTATTTCTACAGGAGTAATAGTTCTTAGTTTTATAGTTCTTTGAAAATATTTCCAGATTGGGTAAGTATATGCTAGTTTCTTGCACATACTTATGTGTCAAGATTTTGTGTTTTGTGTTAATAGTTAACTTACTAGGTAAAAATGGTCTATTCTGAACATAAAGGAGAACCTTCGTAAGTTTAAGGGTCTTTGTGTTTTATTTCATATAATTGCACATGGACAAAAATCTTATTAATAAGATGTATCTTGTATGTGTGTATTTATATTTATATGTATGTGTATGTATATATATACACATATAAATATAGATATAATATATATGAATATAAATATATAGATAGAAAATATATATTGTATTCTTTTAATAGGTGTCAGTTGTACCCAAGGCGTTCTCAGCAGCAACAAGTACCTGTGGTGGATTTTCAGGCGGAACTGAGACAGGCCTTCTTAGCTGAGACACCAAGAGGTGGTTAAAGCAATACTGGAACATCAAGCTAGCTGATTTCAAGAGAATCAAACAACAACAACAAAAAAAACAGGTTAGAGCTGATACTGTAATGATCAGTGTCATAAAATAAGCACATTGTATGACATTTAAAACAATAGAAGTCTGAACTTAATGTCCCTCCCCTGATATTTTGACGTTTTTGTGTCACTTCCAAACATTTCATAGTGCATGCTTTTTAGAAAGTTTTATTCATATTTTATTTTGCATTGATTATCAACTTTATATGAAAAATTTTTATGAATGGGCATTAAATATCTTAGTGAATGTTTTATTTATTCATGTTTTAGTTGTCAATAGACCTTTATTTATTATATGTGGTGCTGAGAATCGAACACAGTGCCTCACACATGCCAGGCAAGTGTGCTACCGCTGAGCCACAGCCTCAGCCCCTAGTGAATGTTTTATAATTACATTTTGTGATAGACTTCATTTTTTTTAGTGTGTCTAGTTTTAAAGTATTTACTGTTTTAATTTCTTAACCTTCCAAATGTAGTATGACACTTTTCACTTTGACCAATTTTGGCATAAATGAAAGTTGTAAATACATCACACATTCATTAGCAATGAGTGTTAAGAGAATCTAAGTATTTTCCTATGCTTATTTACTAATTTTTTATTTTTCAATTATAGTTCTTTTTTTAATATATATTTTTAGTTGTAGTTGGACACAATGTCTTTATTTTATTTTTATGTGGTGCTGAGGATCGAACCCAGGGCCTTGCACATGCTAGGCGAGCGCTCTACTGCTGAGCCATAACCCCAGTCCCCCTAATTATTTATTTTTTATTGTCTTTTTCTCACTTTCATGTTTTCTCTAATGTATTTCCTCTTGGAATCAGCAATGTAATAAAGATACTATCCATAATTTTTCAATGTAGTGAATATTTATTTAGTTTGTATTTTTGTTGGTTGCTCACTTTTTTTAAATTTAAATTTAATTTTTTTAGTTGTAGGTGAACACAATATCTTTATTTTTATTTATTCGGTGCTGAGGATCGAACCTAGGACCTCACACATGTGAGATGAGTGCTCTACTGCTGAGCCATAGCTCCAGCCCTTGCTCACTTTTTTAATAGGAAAAAAGACATTCCAAGTTTGATTTTGATTTAGTATTCTGTTTTATTTTGCAATTATTTTCTGTTTCAACATTACAATGCCCAAATTCCTAGGATTTACTTGTACATTCCAACATGCACACATACATGCTCAGTTATTTAATTATTTTTTGTTTAGAAAATAAAACTTTAGAAGAAAAGGGTTTTATTGATGAATTCTCTGTAGATTTTATTTTTGTTTTTTGAAATGTTACTCTTCAACATCTTCAACATGAGTTAACACGGATTGTTTATAGCCATCATTTTGAATTGAGATCTGAAGAGAGCTTTTCTGAGAAATCATTTCATTGAATCCTTTATACCCAACATTTTGTAATAATTACATGGACTTGTAAATAAATACTGGAATCTGATCACTGTCCCCAGCTGTTCTTCAGAGTAAAGGCATTTTTCAATGAGCAGGTGTCCACAGATTAAATTTTTTTAACCTAGCAATTTTTTTGGCTACCCAGGTGTATATGAAACAAATTAATTTGAATTTGACATTTGTTACTGCCTTCTGTGTATCTCAAGATGTGTATGCAAATATTCTAGAGTCTAAAACATGAAATCTGAAACACTTTTGGACTTTTGGTAGCAAACATTTTGGATGAGAGCTATTCAACCAGGAGTTCCTTTATATTTTATTTTTTAAATTTTTTGTAGTTGTAGATGGACAGGATGCCTTTATGTGGTTTATTTTTATGTGGTGCTGAGGATCAAACCCAGAGCTTCACATATGCTAGGCAAGTGCACTGGCAGTGAGCTACAGCCCCAGCCCTTTATTTTTTAATTAATTAATTAATTAATTTTTTGGTGGTGTTGGGGATTGAACCCAGGGCCTTGTGTATGCAAGGCAAGCACTCTACCAACTGAGCTATATCCCCAACCCACACTTTATATTTTATTTAAAAAAATTTTTGCATACTGGAGCTTGAACCCAGAGACTCAACCCAGACAAGTGTTCTACCTCTGAGTTATGTTCCTGGTACTTTTTTCAAAATTCTGACATGGAGTGTACCTAAAGTATTCAGGCTGACCTCTAATTTTCCTTATTCCTCAGCCTCTGGAGTAGCTTGGATTACAGGCTTGTGCTACTATGTCTGACCACAGGTACATTTTTGGTGTCTCAATGTGTGATAACATAAATTATCCTAGTGCAGAGCATAGAGTATAAATTTAGTGAAAATTTTATTTCTTCTTTAAACTATTTTTTTTGTAGTACGATTCCTAAATTTTATGTTATCACTTTCTAAGGGCATCTGAGGAAACGTTTAGTAACATGAAAACATACTTAGGTTCTCATACTTCCTTTGGGTATTTTTTGTCATTAAATAAAAGTTTTGAAGGAAATATTTTTGCATGTGTATGCTTGCCATCTATTTATTTATTCATTCATTCATTTATTTATTTATTTTCATGATGAGGTAGGGTCTCGATAAGTTGCCAAGGTTGGATTTAAATCTACAATCCTCCCACCTCAGCCTCCCATATTGTGGGGATTATAGGCATGTTCCACTGCACCCTGGTCATGTGGTTTTAATTCACATTGTTTTGTAGATGAATATGTCCCATTTGTATTTTCTCCTGTTATGTCATTGGTAATCATATTTTGTACATTTTTCTGTAGAGAGTCTCAAGTTTATGATCATTTCAAAGTCTGTATTTTACAAAAGTTTGACCTTGTTATGATGATTGATCTTAGGTGGTTTACTTTGCTTTTATGTCCTTTCATTTGAGAAGATACACAGTGACTACTCATCATATGATGTGAAGCTGCTGTTTTACTTTGCAATTATTATGGTCAATAGTTTGAGACCCTGTACTGTACTGGCTATAACTGACTACATAGGAAGTCTTAAGCAGATTCATATTATTTGGTGAAGAAAGATTACCTAATATCATTTTGAACAGGATTTAGGGGAAAGAAAGAGAACCTTGCAGTTGAAAATTGACTAAATTCAGGAATAATTGAGATATTGATGTAAATTTTGGAATTGGGAATTCATGCTTACGTGGGACATTTAAGAATTAGAAGGTAAAATAAATGAGTTTTATTTCTCTAGGTGTGTCACATGTGGGAGTTAAGATGAGGGAATACTGAAATTTGTTAGACTCTTGCTATGGCAGCGTGAGAGGAGGGATGTTTGAATGTGTGTTGCAGTGATTTTAGTGCAGAATTAACTTGTTTAAAATATGATATATTGCAGTGCAGCTATAACATGCTTTCCTCTGCAGGCTCTGTCTACTATTTATGAAGCTTCTGCCCAGCTTGCATTGTTTATAAGAGAACCTTCATCATACCTTTATCTGTACCAAGCCTTCCCTTAGGTATTAAGGATCCCCAGATTTTATTTTTGACATCGGCTTTGGTGGAACAGCAATCATGGTAAGATGTACATTAAAGTACAGGGGTGGTAAGATGCTATAAGGGCCCAAAATAATAGTTTCCCAAGGTGTGAGGAGCTTTGGGTTTTAAAAGTTAGGAAAGAGAATATATCCATAGACACGTAGTCTTGTATTAAATAAAAACTGGAGATGAGAAATGTCTGGTTCCTATTATCGGTTGGTTGTACAAGTTATACAAATCATGCTGAAAAGAGAAAGATAACTTATGATGTAAGAAAATACAGAAGTAGTTTTTGGTGATCATTGCTGTTTTAAGGAACCATCTTGCCCATTGGTGACTCTTAATTTCTGAAGACTTACAGACTACTTAGGAAAGTTTTTTCTCCTTTTTTTTTAAGTATAGAGATTGATCTCAGGGGTGCTCCACTACTGAGCTATCACCAGCCCATTAATTTTTTTTTTAACTTTTTTTGTTTTAAAGACTGTCTGGCTAAGTTGCTGAGGCTGGCCTTAAAATTGCAGTCATTCTGCCTCAGCCTTTCAAGTTGCTGGGACAAAAGAATCAGTTGGTTAATATAGATGAAAATTATCTGGATAGAGTATCCTAATAAAAATTGCATGATTCTGAAAATATAGAGCATGCATTCTCCAAGAGTATCAAAATTGGTTCTTGACGTATCAAAAAAAAAACATTCTATATTGCTTTATAATACCACATTATATTAAAATATAGGGAGATCATGACTCTATATTAAAATCTCACATGGGAGGGTTACTGTGATAAATATCTAAAATGGTGCTGTAGGGGAACAAAAACGAAAGAAAATGTGGAGAAACAAGAATTTGGAAGTTCTGAATATTGTTGTAGGTGTTATGGATCTGAATGTCTTTACAAAGCTAAGAAATACCATGCATTATGCTTTACTTAGGTTGATGGGATTTGTAGTTTTATTTTAGGTACAAATTTGTTCAGGGTAAAACAAACAGTTTATAAAATCAAATGATCAGAAAAAAGGTAGTATTTGGGAAGGGAAGAGAGATTATAGTTCTAAAAGGTAACCAACTGTGAGCTGAGGGATTTCAGAAAAAAATATAATGAGTAATGATGGGGAAACTGCCTAAAATTTTAAGAAGTAAAGGTTTTCTTAGAAGAATCTAGTGGTCCTGGGTCAAAATTTGGTCTAGTATATTTAGTGAGAGAGAAGAAATGTTGCAGAAAAGGCATGGAAAAGGACTTGTTAAGGAAACCAGATTTGGATTGATACGGGAGCAGGCAAGAAATGAAAAATTGACTATTGACATTCCTTTTAATAATTCCAGACTGTGGGCAAGAGTAGCAAGATGCTGCAGCACATTGACTATAGAATGAGATGTATCCTGCAAGACGGCCGAATCTTCATTGGCACCTTTAAGGCTTTTGACAAGCATATGAATTTGATCCTCTGTGATTGTGATGAGTTCAGGAAAATCAAGTAAGTCTGAGGATTGGGTAACAGTTGGAAGCAAAAGCAGGGAAAATCCAAGGGCAGAGCTAAAGTAGAGTTTATAAAGGGTGACTTTCATGTAGAGAAACTATAGCAGGGCCAGTCTATTGTCTAATCTCTTAATGTCATGTCTGACTTGGGTTAGAGCTTTAAAGGCATTACATCCAATGTATTAGTGTAAATTTGCAAAAACAATCATGCATTACTGAGAATAAAACAGCACAAAATGATTGAAATATCAAATTATATGTATTTCAAAAAATTAGAAGTATTAATTGACTGTCCTCTGTGACAGTCTTACATTGAAGGAGAGAAAATAATTGTCTGTGGTTGGGGAATTGTGTACGAATACCATTTGGTATCCCTTCTCTCTTTACTATTTCTTTTATTTCAGTTTTGTATTCAAGATTTATTTAGTTAAAAGTGATTTTAAAAATTTATTTTCCATTTCTTTAATGTTTTCTTAGTTGTTGATAGACATTTATTTTATTTATTTATTTTTATGTGGTGCTGAGGATCAAACCCAGTACCTCACACACGCTAGGTAAGTACCACTGAGCCACTACCCCAGCCCTATTTTCCATTTTAATGTGGAAATAGAGTTGAAACTTTTGCCTACCTTAAAAGGCTAAGTCTCATCATTTCCATCTATATTTTACAAAAGTAATTCACTTTTTGTAATATTTGTGTAATAACCAGGAAATATTCTGGAAAGGACAATAGTTAAAATAGGAAAGGAGCTTTGCTATTTATATATGTAAATTGAGTCTGAATGTTTCATTTAGGGGATTAAACTGAATAACTTAAGTGAGAATCTTGGCATTAGTTTTTGTCTTATTTAGTACTTGTGTTTAATGAATAATTTGAGGATTGCTAAAATTTCTCTCACTAAAATTTCTTCTTATTCATAGGCCAAAGAATGCAAAGCAGCCAGAGCGTGAAGAAAAGCGGGTTTTAGGTCTGGTGTTGCTGCGTGGGGAGAACTTGGTATCCATGACTGTGGAGGGACCACCCCCTAAAGATGTAAGGAAGATGCAGGCAGGACAGAGCTCTTTAAAATTTTGTCTTTGAAAGTAATTTTTTGTTGTTTTATTCTTAATTGGTATATAAAAGCAAATAATTTAAATGTGGGAGAATATTGTATTCTTTGAGATGGCTGAAATAGGGGGACCAGGGAAGCACAATATAGTATACTTTTGTCAAATGTGTTCAGAACTTGATGCTAGCTAATATTTGAACTTTTATGAATTAAAAGTTGTCTGATGGGTTACTTTATGTGCTGGGTTACTTAGGTAATCATGGGAGTTGTCGATTTATTTCCACATGGTATGTGTCCTAACAATTTGAAAAATATATATGTGGAGAATTATCTCCATGGTATATATACTCATTTTTTCCATTTGAGTGCTGAAATTAATGTTAGGTGGGTGGCCTGGGAACATAGTGGGTAAAACTGATTTTTGTATAAAAGTGCTGAGAACTTGAGTAAGTCATTCAGTTCTACATTATAAATTTTCTTATTTCAGACTGGTATTGCTCGGGTGCCACTTGCTGGAGCTGCAGGAGGTCCTGGGGTTGGGAGGGCAGCTGGCAGAGGAGTACCAGCTGGTGTACCAATTCCCCAGGCTCCTGCTGGATTAGCAGGCCCTGTCAGAGGAGTTGGAGGTCCATCCCAGCAGGTGGGTAACAAGGAAAGGGTTTTAGCTTAATGGGGAAATGTGAGTAGATCCCTGGATTGAGGATATTTAAAAATGTGTATTTGTTTAAGCAGTATATGTTATAGAATAAGCAGGGAGATAAATATAAAAGCAAGGTAATAAAACTAGTTACTTAAAATGGTTACTCGGTATTTAAAGCCACCTTGTTAGGAGTAAAACTATTATTTGCTTATTCAGAAAAATACGAATGTACATGTCAGATTTGGAAAAAAGAGACGAATAGCTGCTTTGATATGTCATAATACCAAGATTTTTAAAAAATATTTTTTATTTGTTGATGGACCTTTATTTTATTTATTTATATGCAGTGCTGAGAATTGAACCTAGTTCCTTACACATGCTAAGCAATTCCTCTACAGAACTCAGGATGGGATGTATCTCAGTGGTAGAGCATGCACTTGACATATGTAAGCCCTTGGATTTCATTCCCAGTGCTGCAAAATAAAATATGAATGAGACAAGTATAAAATTGCAGTAATTATTTAGCATTTAAGAGGACATACCTAATATTTATTTTCTGTGTTTAAAAATGTGAGCATGTTTCTTCTCATTTTTATTGTCTTCCTGGCTCTGCCCTCTCAGGTAATGACTCCACAAGGAAGAGGTACTGTAGCAGCTGCTGCTGTTGCTGCTACTGCCAGCATTGCTGGAGCCCCAACACAGTACCCACCAGGACGGGGGACTCCACCCCCACCTGTAGGCAGAGCAACCCCACCACCAGGTATGGGATTTGTGAAAAAGAATAATTTGTGTCTCCGAGAGTTCATATGCCATTATCTAAGTCAGTTTGAGACAACAACAACTGACTTAGATAATGGATTCAGATACAACCTAAGTGCTCAATTAGAGGTTTTCGGAGTATATAATTAGTTTTTAATGAAAGAATAGGAATTCTTTTTGAATTGGAGATGACAAACAGGAGCAATATTTAAAAAGAAATTATTTGATCCTCATTGGCTGCTGCTTTTCCCTCTTTCTTTCTGGATTGAACCCAGCTCATTTCTTTAAACATTACTTTGGGCTGAAGTCTAACTTTCCTGAGCCAACTTATAAGGTCTTTATTTCTGAATTGTTTTCTTTGTAGGTATCATGGCTCCCCCACCTGGTATGAGACCACCTATGGGCCCACCAATTGGGCTTCCCCCTGCTCGAGGGACGCCAATAGGCATGCCTCCTCCTGGAATGAGGCCCCCACCACCAGGAATTAGAGGTGAATTGGGATTACAAGAGCTTGAGAGTGGCAGCCAGGGCTTTGAATGTATATATATTATTTTTCTGACTGTTTCATTGAATTTTGTTTTATTTTTTGTTTTCCAGGTCCACCTCCCCCAGGAATGCGTCCACCAAGACCCTAAAATACTGTTGATTCATCTAAGTCACCTTTATCCCTGCTCTGCGTCTTGTGAATTGTGTAGATTGTTTGTGAGCTTTTTGTCCCCTTTCTGCATTAATAATAGACAATAAATGCATAGAGCAATTAAACCATGAGATACTTGTATATTTTTTCTTTGCCTATTTATATTGGTGAGGTCAGAGTGAAAACATTTTTTCTGGTATTGAATCCTATTAAGGAATTTATTCAAATTACTTTTTAACGCAAAATGATTGTGCTATTTGTTTCTGCTTTCTGACTTTCTTCTACTTTGTGCATGACCAGTGTTGATTGGTAACATTTGCAGATAGGAAACTCATGAAACAGGGGCTTTAAGTTGTTATGAATTCATAAATAGTCTTCTGCTTTTTACTTTACTATGTCACAATATCTGAAATAAAGTAGAGATGAATGCAAGGTCTTGTAAGGATATAATATTTACTGAAGGAAATTGTGCCACTGACTTGGACTCATTGCAAATAATTGAAATTAATGAGCACAAAGAGATAGCCTTTCCTTGGAAATTTACCTTAGTTAATCAATTTTTACAGTGTCCTGAAATCAGAATAGAAGATCTGATCCTAATGTCTCAAACTGACTTAGATAAACATTGTCTACCTGCATGTAAGTATTCATTTATAAAATACTAAATGAAGGGCAGACTGTTGTTATAGGGAGACAGAAATTTGCAATTTGAGATAATTAAGTTGTATTACTTAAAATGTAAAAAGGACACTTTGTAAATTACACACTAAAATTTATATTTCAATATTCCTAACCATATCAATAGTGATGTATTTAAATTATGGAGACAAATAAATTGTCTTTAAGTTAAATAGTTAAGGAATACCCTAATATCTCCTTCTTGTTTGTTATGGAGAAAAAATTCATTTTTATTTTATTTTTTTTTCGGTTACACACTCACATTTTTACATAATGGCATATTAGTGACTGTTGTATTCTGCTACCTTTCCTATCCCCTACTATCCCCCCTCCCCTCCCCTCCCATCTTCCCTCTCTACCTCATCTGCTGTGAAAAAATTCATTTTTAAAAGGAGTGAGTAAGATGGGGTGATTTTGCTGCTAAGACTTTTAATAGGTAGTGAGTGAATTACCCATATTGATGGTAGGAAACTAATTCCTTGTGTACTGCTATTAGAGATTCGTGTTAACTACATAAAGAATGGTAAGTTGATTGTAATTATGCTTTCTTAATTTTACTTATTTATTTTTTATGTGGTGCTGAGGATCGAACCCAGTGCCTCATATGTGCTAGTCGAGCACTGTACAACTGAGCCCAACCCTCGATTGTAATTATTTTTCTATTGAATTTTTTCTAGTGTTGATTGTACATATGTCTTCTGTTCTATCCTTTCAATTATGTACTTGCAAGTGCACCCAAGGAAAAGGAACCATCAAAGTGACTGTCCCTACTAAAGGTAGTTTCTAGGATTTATTACCACTAGCTATCCACTAAGGAAGTGGCAAAATCTTAAATTGATTAAGAAACTCATAACAGATGCAATATTGGTTTTTGATGCTATTTTTCAGAGTTGATAAATTTTAAAGCAATTTTGTTTTATTAACAAGCATTAAGTTAAGACAGTGTGTATAACATGATAGGTACTTTTGGTCTTAGAAGTATATGGGTGATATGAAAACAAGTTTTCTGACCATCTGTTTTTTAAACCAACATATTTATAATGCAATTCTTTTTATTATAATGCAGTTCTTTTTATTTTATAGCTAAATATTTCATGTTTGCATAGGACTTCTGGTATGGATATTTGCCTCTTATTTAGATTTTGAGTGATAGGTTTTCTATTTTCTAATGCTATTCCCTTAACTAGAAATGGCTTTTTTGCAAGTTATAGATGAATTTCAAGATTTCTGTTTTCTGAAAGATGTTTACTTCTTTTCTTAAAATACTTTCTTTTTAGTTGTTAGTGGACACAATGCATTTGTTTTATTTATTTATTTTTATGTGACGCTGAGGATCAGACCCAGTGCCTTACATGTGCTAGGTGAGTGCTCTACCGCTGAGCTACAACCCCAGCTCTGTAATATGCTTACTTCTGATAGTTATTTTGGATTGTGATAATACTACTCATTTTTGCCTGAAGTTTCTTGGACTTTTCAAGACCCCTATTTGTAGGTTATATACTAGAAGATGACTTGGGACATAATATTTTCATATACTTGAGTGGATTTAGATAAATATATCAATATTTTGCTTTATACTGCCAGATCTATGCTTCTTTAGAGTTCCATTAGGGACATATATTGACATCAGTCTTCAAACATCCTTGTTAATAAATACTTATAAATCATTGCCAGATATGGTGGTGCATGCCTGTGGACTTCAAGTTCTAGGCTAGCTGCAGTAACTTAGCCACATGCTGTCTCAGCAAAAACAAAACAAAGGGGCTGATAATGAGGATAGAGTTCCATGTTAGAGCACCCCTGGCTTCAATTCAAAACAAAAACAAAGAAATCATCCTACATTCTGATATTCAAGTGAATTTATGTCACATCCGAAATAAGTAGACAATAATTTTCTGATTTGCATGGTTACTAATGACTCCATAGATTCAAGTTGTATATAATGTTTGATAAGTTTTTTCATAGTGGTTTGAATATTAGTTTGAAATAGAATTCTGGGGTATTACTTTTAACTGCTGTGTTAAAGTTGGTTATGTAGTGTTTATGGTATAATATATTCATAGGTCATTTGAATTGCTCCTTAAAGAGTTTTGAGAGTTACCTTGGGAACCCTCTACTTTCTTTTTTTTTTTTAAGAGAGAGAGAGAGATTTTTTTTAACATTTATTTTTCAGTTTTCGGTGGACACAACATCTTTATTTTATTTGTATGTGGTGCTGAGGATCGAACCCAGCGCCCAGCACATGCCAGGCAAGCGCGTTTCCGCTTGAGCCACATCCCCAGCCCGGGAACCCTCTACTTTCTTAAACTCATTAGTTCATTTTTTACATCATGTCAGATTTTAGAAGTCAGAAGTGTATGCATTGGGGATTTGGTTTGTTAGAGGTTATTCCTTATAATACACTATTAAGATGGGAACTGATTTATGTACAATATGATAATAGTGTTATTTGGAATTTTCACAATCATCTTTTGGTATTTTTATTATTTTTAGTCATACATGTCAATGAGTATACTTTGAACATCTTGTTTCAAAGATTAGAAAATACAGTGCCAGGTGTAGTGGCTCATGCCTATAATCCCAAAAGCTTGGGAGCTCAAGCAGGAGGACCGCAACTTTAAAGCCAGCCTCAGCAACAGTGAGGTGCTAAGCAACTCATTGACACACTGTCTCTAAATAAAATACAAAAAAGGTCTGTGTATGTGGCTCAGTGGTTGAGTGCCCTTGAATTCAATCCCTGGCACCTCCCGCCACCCCCCCAAAAGAAAACAATACACTGTTGTTAGTATGTTAACCTCAACTATTATCTTTATTGAATTTCAACAAGCAGTAGGTTACAGCCATTACTTATATAATGGGTGAAAATTTAAAGTGCTTGTTATCTATTTGATCTTACTGTCTTACTCATAATTGCATATTAGTTCCCTTGGTCCTGTTTGTACACATAATCTCAGTATGTGAATATTCTGAAATAAAGCAAGGCATATTATCATGATTATTTAATTTTTTTGTGGTAGGAGAATGAAATCTGAGTCTCATGTGTTATTTGTGTGTTGAAACTTTTTCAGGCTTTTATGATATCCTTTTGTCAACTTAGTTGATAACTGAAGGGAAGAGAGGATTTGGCTACTGAATTTTGGGAAGAATTTGGTCACTGAATTTCATGGTGTGTCATCAGTGTGGATCCTACTCAGTGATTGGATCTGAAATTGACACTGAAAACCACATTAGCTGCACTTAAGACAGAAACATAAACCCTTCAAGGTAATATAACCTTATCAGTAGAAATAAGAGTATATTGTGAGGCCTTGGCTAGGTTCATGATGACACAGGACCTTGTCTGAATATGATGATTTCAAGATTTGAGCTTAAATTGACACTCTGAAATCTAGTCAGTGTGCCTCACTAGACTTTACAGAGCACATTATTCTTGAAAAAAATCTTGGCTTTTTGTAAAAACTTAGAACATATAGATATGCCTTTTCTAGTATAGAACTTTGCCATTTCTTCAAATGTCTTTTATTTTCATTGATATTCTGAGGTAATTCTTTTTTTCTGAACTTTGTATGTTGTTGAAAGCTAAAGGGAAACATCTTGGATCACAGAAGATAGCAGGCACCTGGTGAGATGGAAGTAAGGATGTGTACAAATGAAACTATCAACTATTGAAAACAAAGAGTACTAAAGTCCTAGGGTTCTAAATGATGTCCAGGAATGAAAGAAAAATATTTGTCGAGCATATATTGTGGATCACAGTAAGTATATTAAAAGGCTTCACATGGATCCTGTTGGTGTTTTAGGATAATTTGTGTGTTTTTCTTCTTCGGTGGCCTGTGATCGATCCTCATGTCCAAACACCATTATAAAATAGTTGTATAAGAAAAATTTTAGTGAATGAATGAAGAATGACTGCTAAAATGTTTGTTAGAAAATGAATGTTTAGATATTTTATGGTTACTTCCTTATAGTGAAATATCTGTGGTAAGAAGTCATGCCTGCCTGATATCTAATATCCTAAAATTAATTAGTATTACCAGCCCTAGTTTTTTTTTCTTTAATATTTGTTCTGGTTTTGGGTGAACACAGTAACCCCCATTCTATTTTTATGTGGTACTGAGGATCAAACCCAGTGCCTCATGTGTTCTAGGCAAGCACTGTACTTCTGAGCCACAACCCCAGCCCAACCAGCCCTAGTTTTGTACAGTGCCTTGTCATAATATTTTAGTGTTTTCTTGGGAATTTTATGTTTTTGGGTTAAAAAATGGAAATCAAGCATTTTAAAGTGTATAGGAGGAGTCGTCTTATCATTTATCATGGAATACAGTTGAAGCCATGGGGTACCACCAGCTCATCCACTGGGTGGCCTGTCACAGAATTGGGTCCCATTCCCCAGTACAAAGGGCTAGCCATTGAAAATTTTGGGTGCTGTTCCAAGACAAATTGGTTGTTTATA